CTGAAGGCCTGACGCTGCTGTTACTCATCTCTGGGGAGTAATCCTATTTCAGGGTAGACTCACTGGCAGCCTCTGGAGTCACAAAGTGTATTTGTACTGAAATGGGCTAGTTGTCTTGGCACACAGCCTTTTAAGGAGAGGGATTCACATCTTAAGAACAGACTAGTCAGGGATGTGACCTCTGATATTCCTAAACCAGTAAGGGTGGATGCCACAAAGGGTTATGATGTGCGGGGGGGATTAGATATGCCCTGTTTATATGCATGCACACTCTCTCTCCAAAGTGCCTACTACTGCCGCTGTTGCAGAGGAGATACAAGGCTAGATGCACCATGAATGTGACTCAATATGCTGCTTAAACATCTCACCAGCACAAATGCCACACACTACTCACACCATTGCCAGCTTCCTCAGCTTCACCAACCTACACTACTATGTTTGCTCCACAACTGGCAAAATGAGCATCCCAACCCCACTGATGCTGCTGTGATTCAAATAATGAACACTAGTCCTCAGATTTCCCCATACAAGGGAGCTTTGTTTCATTATTTCTTATCCTGGAGGGTGGTTCTGATCCGTGATAACACCTAGCCTCTTAATAACAATTATTTTTACTTGTCTCTGATAAGGGCCCTTACCAAAATCTTAGTGGGGAAAAAATCAGTGTGGAGTGGAACACTTCCCTGGAGTCTCTTAAACCTACTATTTTATTAACATGAAGAAAGCACAGCGTGCCTCTGCTTCTGCTCTGCCTCTCACAATAATTGCATCTCTCTGTAGCAAGCAGGGTCCAGAGAGACAGAAAGGTGCAGGGCACAAAACAAAAGTCATAGCAGTAGCAAAGTCCGAAGCAGTAGGTTTGGGATTTGATGCGTCCCGGGCACAGGATGGAGCACCACCATAAGGCACCTGGTGAATTCCTGCCAGAACCAGGCAAGCTTGATATAACCAACAAAAAGAAAAAGCCAGCAGGTAGCTGCACACAGTATGCGCTTTGCACATCAGTATAGGAGCAGTGACCTTGCATGTACCTGAAATCAAGAGTTTGGAGCCTAGAGGGGCCTAACTCCTGGTTGTCCATGTTTACAGGCTTTGGGACCTATGCTTCTCTTCAACCAAGTCAAGGGAGGAGCTGAGAAGCAGTCCAGTCAGTCAGAAGTGAGTTGCTCTTATTCAAAGGCTGAGAATCACTGAAAGAACTTTTAGCAAAAGGAACTTGGCTGCTTTGTTTTGGTTATGCCTATCAAAAAGCACGTCCAATGCTTATAGGATTATGGTGCTGCTGCCAGGGATTTTATCATTTACGCACAGACCCTACGTTTTGTTGGCGGTCAGTATAAGTTTTATGCAAATGCCTCAGTTGAAACAAAATATAAGTAGCTTCATATTCCTGAATAACAGCAGAAATGGCCATATGGCACTTGTTCTGCTGCCCAGTTCGGGATTGAAGTATTTGATGAGGATTGCGTGTTGGAAAGCATGCCATACACTGCCCAAGCCTTCTTTGAGCTCTCTTGGTCTTGGTAATCCCTGTGGTTTCTTAGCCCTCGAAGCATTGGAAAGACAGGAACTGATTAATAAACCAGTGACAAATTCTGAAAAGCTGATCGTTGTGAACTCATCTCTCTTGCCTCCTACATTTTCCCAGGAGACTTTTCCAGGCATCAGCATGGCACACTCTCCCACTCAGCACCACGTGAGCCAGATTGAATCCCGTTCTGGTGGTGTGGGTTTTTCTCCCACCCTTCCATCACCCATTCTTGCCAGTTCCCACTGGGATAATCCCTGCATGACTAGGTTTTTTTAAATACAGCCCCCTTCCCCTTCTCCTTTTGTATTTGAAGCAGGAAAATAAAGGGTCTAGAAATTGCTCTGGGGGTGTTTGCAGCAGTGCCTGCGAAAGCATGAAGAGTTGCTGAGGCTGTGCGCGCCTTGGTTTACTTGCTAACCTTTTCAGATGTCAGCTTGAAACTAGCTGAGAAGTAATCAATTTCCCCCCTCCGCCCAGTTTCTGTGTAACGACAATGCCACGCAGATGACAGGCATGAAGCAAACCAGCTTTTGACAACACGAAGCACTTGAGAGCTAATTGCCAGTTTCAATCTGAAGTCGGCAAGTGGATAAGATAAAATTGTCACCCATCAACTTAATCTTTATCCGGGTGAGTGCTGGAGTCAGTTCTTAGCTGTGGCGATTTAAACCTTCCCTTATTAGGACACTTGTTTTGTATGAACTTTTTTTGTTTCTTTCTGTAAATTAGAGCTGTTTCAATGAAAAAGTGGGGAGAGAAGGCTGTGCTAATTCGAAAGTGCCTCGTTTTGCCTAGTGCTTTTTGTCCTTGGATCTGAAAGCACTTGACAGTAGCAGCCAAATATTGTTATCCCTGCCCAGAGATAGTGAAACAAGAAGAAATGACTTTCCCAAGCCAGTGACTGAGTACTTGGGTCCCCTGAGTCCCAGACCCTGCTGCCTCTCCATTTTATTACTTGGATTCCAGGGCCAGACTAAGGAAGTGACCCATCTGGAGTAGGAGAAAGAAAAGAGACATGGGGGATGACTCAGCAATCAGTCAACTGGTTTCACACTGGTGTGAGCTCAATGTCACCAACAGAATTAGGGTTAGGGTACAAGCTTCTTTGCAAGTTGAGTGCCAAGGGTCTGGAACAGGTTCCCCCCAGAGGTGGTACAGTCATCCACCCTGGCAATCTTCAGAAAGCATCTTGATGCCCATCTTGCTGGGGTCATCTGATCCCAGGAGTCTTTCCTGCCCGAGTGCAGGGGGGCTGGACCCAATGATCGTATAAGGTCCCCTCCAGCCCCTAACATCTATGAAACTACCACTGATTGGCATATCTGCGGAAGATGTTAGAGTAAGCACCTTTAATAAAATCTAAGTGAGTCTAGTTGAGTCTCCTTTAAGAGAATCACGCAGAGTGAGTTGCACAAACAGCTCCCTGAAAAGCAAAATCTGGATCCAAACTGAGAGAGCACAAACTGTTTCACTCTGCTTTGTCTGGATAAGATTTTGCATCTTTAGTTACGAGCCCTTTCACATCAGGCATTTGGTCCTGAGATCACATCAGCCTTTTGTTCCTGGCTCAAAACATTTTGGGCTTAATTATTACGGAACTGCTGATTAGTCAAAGCTCCCTCTGACTTTTCAGCATATAAGTTAAGGACCCTTCATATCTTTGAGGCACTCAGATTTACCTACTTTGGAATTTAGCCAGGGATAACTGTCCTGCCTAACTGAAAAGTGCCATGTGGGGTCTGTAAAAACTGAGTGCACCTTTAAGTCTGTCTGTAAGATGGCAGCACAAGAGTAGCAGTGGTAGCTCTGGCTGTTTGCTTGTATTGGGAGAACCCAACCAAGAACAGGTCCCTTTGGGCTAGGTCTATGTTAAAAACATGCATGGTAGGAAAACCCCTGCTCCAGGGCATGTGTAGATGAAACAGGGGCCCTAAATTGAAGCGGTGGGTTTTTAAAAACACCGCTTCAATTTAGAGCCTATTAAACCCCTGTGACAGGCACACATCCACTTACCTGCCTCTCCAGCAGCAGGAAGGGA